GGGGGGGGAGGGGAATTGACGGTGTCTTGATGCGAGGGACGATGTTCTCACAACTTGCAAAGCGAGCAACATCATTCTAGTCAGTGGTATTTTCAACCAGCTGAAGACCTTTCGCTGACCTTATTGATATTTTGAACAAATGTTCGAGGCCAGGGAACGTTCCCTTCTTCAGATGTAGCGTATGATGTTAGCATCAGTTGAAATGATATTCTGTTGAGCGTCGGGGAAAATGAGCCAAAATTGAAAGAAACGACGGTAAACGACTTCAAAGTAGTTACCACCGGTCGATTGAAATGGTATTTAGGTGAGAAGAGTGAGTAAATGAAACATTACACCGGAATCATATGAGGTTCTCTCATATCATCTTTGATGTCACCAGGTATGACTGCTGGCTCAACCGATTTTTCTCTCAAGTGTCAACCTCCTCTATCATTTGGCCCTCTAACAAGACTTCGATAACTTAGGCAAGCGGGCAGACCTTTGGCAACTGAGCTTAGGAAAAACTAACAAATCTCTTCCTTTTTCTCACGATTATTTGATGAATGACTAGACCATTTCTAGAGTAACTTCTGCCAAATATCTAATCATCACTTTAAATCAGAAACTCAATTGGAACCAACAGTGTGACCTCATTTGTGGTAGGGCCAATGGAACACTGGGCCTTCATAGAAGAGTCCTGGGTATGTTGCTTTTGTCTGCCCGCAGTTAGAATATGCCAGTTCTGCATGGAACCCTTATACTAAACGTAATATTAATAAGACTAAAGTGGTTCAACATAGTGCAGCTAGATTCTCCTTAAATGACTATTCTAGATTAAGTCCTGGTTCTCCCATGATTGATCAATTTGGGTGGGACACCCTAGAAAAACGTAGATTACTGTCTCAATTAACCATGCTCTACAAGATCCAGCAAGGTCTAATGGGAATATCACTTCCTCCTGAGGTTTTCCCTCTGGACTGGGCATCTCACCTTCCAAATTGTACTCCTCAACGCCATATTCAGTGCAACAGTAATGTCTACAAATTTTCTTTTTATCCAAGGTCTATTGTTGTCTGGAACCAACTATGCCTAAATACTTTACCATTGCAGAGCATCTCTGCTTTTAGATCAGAAATTTTTCCGATTAAATATATGGCAAAATTTTACTTGTAGTATGCACTTTTTATTTCTTTATGTATTTATTGATCTATTTTTTTCATTTTTCATTTACTTATTTGTTCACTTTTTATTACTCAATTTACCATTTAAGGTTTTGCTAATAAGATGGTTAATTTAATTATGTAGTTTGTAAACTAGTTCCTAGTGTAAATTGAAAATTAAAGAAATGATTTAGTCCTTTTTCAAATTAAGCTAGAGTGTTCTTAAATTCAAATAGGATTTAGATTAAACTCATACCTCTTCATATTGTTCTTACTGTTTTAGGAGCTCCTCTCTTAAAGATTAAAAAAGAAAGTCACTTTCAACTCAAGGTTAAACTTGTTATTTTTTAACTTGTCTTTTGACCGTTTGTGTTTCATGATTGTTGTCTGGCCGGAAATACAAGGCGTCTTTTTAGGTTTTCCTGTAACTTAATTCGGTAACCTCTGCTCTAACTGTATATAATGTCTGTGTCTTTAAACCAACAGTCCATAATCTTGGCAACTCTAGCCACTGAAATGCGAGATTTTGTCTAGCGTCTGTTTCTTTTGCCGGAAAAGTTTGATTTAAACAAATACAAGCTAGATCTAAAATTAACTATATCAAACTTGATGATGAAGAGAAGATTAGGATTCAAAAACGAAATATATTAATAATAATAATAATTAAATAATTTATATTGCACAAATTAACATTTGGGGGTTACTATTGACAAACACTTAAGCTTTGATGTACACGTTGAGAAACTGTGCAAGAAGTTGTCCCAGAGAATAGCGGTTCTTAAAAAGATATGGAGATTCATCCCTATCGAACAGCGCACACTTTACTACAATGCTATGATCAAACAAGTAATGTTGTATGGGTCAACTATCTGGTCAAACTGCTCAGCTGATAACTTAACGAGAATCCTCCAGCTGCAAAAACGTGCTGCCCGAGTAATTTTGGGAGATGACACAAGATCAAATAGCGTAAATCTTTTTAATAAATTAGGGTGGCTCCCATTTTATGATAAAGCTAAAATCAATAAGTGCTCACTAGTCCTTAAGCACCTTCAATGAAACTGCCCCAGCTACATGTATGACCTTCTTAAATGCAATGCAGATTTATACACACGCAGTGGGCGGTACAGTGCCTTAAACCTCATCTGCCCCAGATATAATCGTGTATCTAAGAGAGGGAGAACTTTTAGTGTGTCCGCAACCAGGCTCTGGAACTCTCTGCCTATTAACCTTTAGAAAGTAACATGCGTAACCTCATCTAGAAAGGCTATTTATAGACTTTTTTAATCAGATACAATGACGTTGATCATTTTATCGTAACTGAAACTTAATTTTATTCATAGTTTTATGCTAATCCAACATTTCATAACCTTCCTCTTGCTCGACCTATCCCAACTGTATTCTTATTGTAATCATAGTTTGTAGATATTCATTGTAAGAATATTTTTATAAATGTAATATAGTTTTTACTATTGTTAGCCCTATTCATACATACACTTATACTTCCTTTCTTTACGACATGAATTTTGTTTCTTAACTTTGTTTTACAAATTTAGTTTGAGGGCCACTAGTTACTCAGTTGAAGCACTGTCCCGTGTTACCCTCGTTAAATAAGGTTGACTGATTGATTGATTGATTTGGATATGATTAAATGCACATCACAACACTTTTCGGGGGACTTTGGCCGGACTGCATCAGCAGTTTACAATCAGTCGAAGGAAACTTATTTGAAGATGCCCCCTCCCCTCAATTCCTAGTAAACAGGCCAGACCACATCACAGTAATCTCATGAGTGGGTTCTTTAATGTCCCCTGCCTAACCAAATTAACTTATTAATAGATGCAGGAGATTGGACCTATGCTTTATTTGTCCTTATCCAAGAAGACTAGAATGTCTATCCATTTCTTGATAATATAGAAAGGTAGCGCATTCTCCTCAGTTATTTTAAGACCTTGAGTGTTGGTCCAGCTGGTGCTCAAACCCTCGACCTCCCACACAACAATCTGGCACTCTAACCAATTGAGCTAACTGGGAGGCAGTTAGCTAACCGAGGGGCAGTTATATTTGCAGGAACCTTGGAAAAATACCTGGATTTCATTTGTACATGTAAACTACATAGATTAATTCCAAACTTCAATCAAGTTTTCTCTTTAGTTTTAAAGTTGAATTGATGTTGTTATTGGCCTTAAAGATGTTGAAAAGTTTTAAATGGTATCTCTTGTCAGAAAATAAGTGAATTTCCTGGAAGGTGGAGTTTTGGTTACATTTTACATGAAACATGACTGCAATAACCTTTATTGATCTGATAAAAGTATTAATTTGACCATCTACTAAGACTTTCAACGGTTCACTGTAACAAAATTTAAACACCAAAGTTTTTGAAAAGGCTTGGGTATTAGTTGAAATTGGCCAATTCATGCAAAAACTTAGGTTATACATTGAGGGCACAGTTTTTCCTTCCATTTTTTCACTTATGCTGTAACAAGCTGGCAAATCTTTGTAATATATTTCAAGCTAACCATTTTCTTTATGGGTCAAATTACAAAAATGGTACTCTTCATCTAGATGCCATAGATGTAGTAGGCGTAGTAGGTGTAATTTGGTGTAGTAGGTGTAGTTTGGCGTAGTAGGTGTAATTTGGTGTAGTAGGTGTAATTTGGTGTAGTAGGTGTAGTTTGGTGTAGTAGGTGTAGTTTGGTGTAGTATGTGTAGTTTGGTGTAGTAGGTGTAGTTTGGTGTAGTAGGTGTAGTTTGGAGGTAGTAGTGTTGTAGTACAACAAACTACACCAAACTACACCCCCTACACCAAACTACATCTACTACACCAAACTACACTAAAGTACACCTGCAACACCAAACTACACCAAACTACACCAAACTACACCTACTACCCCAAACTACACCTACTATACTAAACTACACCAAACTACACCCAACCACCTTCTACACTAAACTACGCCAAACGACAGCAAAGTACACCTACTTGACCAAAGCACACCTAGTACGCCTAAGTACATCTACTACACCAAACTACACCTACTACACTATATTACACCTACTACACTAAACTACACCTACTACACCAAACTACACCCACTACAGTAAACTACACTTAGTACACCGAACTACACCTACACTAAATTACACCTACTATATACCAAGCTACACCTACTACACTAAACTACACTTAGTACATTCACCTACTACACTAAACTACACCTACTACACCATATTACGTTAAACTACACCTACTACAATTTCTTCTCGATTGTATTATTGGACAAGCGTTTTTTTTACTCAGATAGTGTAAAACCTTGTTCTATATTCGTGACGGTAATCATGGATCTATTCATGGATCTATTACTTTAATTGTGTCTTCCACTTCGCTGTCCCTGTTTCTTCGATGAATTGATTTACAACATTCACTCAGGATTTTGCAAACAACGCCGTTCCGTTCCGCTAGGTGGATGGGATCTTTATGTTGCACTAAGTGTGATCTGAATGTCGTGTTAGGTTTAAAGACGAAGAAAAGTGAAAGGCAGGTGAAAAGTGGCATGTGGAAGCCACATAGTGTGCATCTATGCAACAATGGTGGTGACTCTACAAGTCTCTATCTCTTCATTTCTCTGTTTGGGAATCCTGAGCCGTCACGATAGCTGCTGATTGAACTCAGTTGAGGGTAGCAGTCGTCAATTGACTTGGATGTGGACTACGTTTGCTTTAATTTACCTGTACGTGCTTGGGTTCATCTTCAAGCAATAAAATGTGTGCAAGGGTGTATTTGTACTTGTAATGTGTTTTACGGTTACTTACAAGGAGACAAGTAAGTTATATTTAGTGTACTATGTAGCTGTTTAGTACTTTAGAGTCTGGGGCAAGATGATATTGCACCATTATGATGACGAAACGATAAACAAGGTTTCGTTACATTCCGGTGTAGTCTTATATAATAAGGTACAAACCTCAGTGTGCCAAGCCCCTGAAAAGTATCCTTTGGTCTGGACTCTGCTGTCAAGTTACATAACATAAATCTATTGGATATAAAACTAGAGAAAGACGATTAAAGAGAATGTCAGTGACAAATACAGGCTTGAGGGGCTTATGAGCCTTACAAAGCTGTTGATCTAACTTCTGTATTTAATGTACTACATTTGACGAAGCATGACCCTGTTTGAGTCGACGTTAGTATAAGTCCTAAATCTTCGGTTATCTTCCACATTTATATTGTCTTGGCGTATACGCGCATGCTCACGTGTCTGCGAAGTAGTACTAGACGTGTGTCGGCACGTGTAATTCGCACGCAATAAAACTATTTTTGACGGATTGTGATCCTGTTTGAGTCGACGTTAGTGTAAGTCCTAAATCTTTAGTTATCGTCCACAGTAACTGTCTTGGCGGACACGTGCATGCTCACGTATCCGCTGTTTCGGCACGTGTAATTTTTACGTAGTAGAAGACCTTGAATGTGGAATCCTTCACGAAGTTTCGTGAGCTGAGCTATATGCGAAGCCTAACATGTAAATTAGAATTAACTTCATGATTAGAAGGAACTGTCCCGCTTGATGAGGTCTTTATTCCTTCTCCATATAAATCTTGTCTTCGGGACTGGTGGCTCTTCAGTGAACAGTAAGCACTAACCTCGTGAATTTTATCTTCATTGAAGTAATGTTTTAGACTAACTACACATGATATCGACGAAAGTAAACGTTGCAAGTAACATATTCGGAAACAACAAATCAGTTTGTTGTGTTATTACGTTTTACTCATGCAAGAAAAATTGTAGTTATTTAGGCGATGGCTGACTTTTAAGACCTACACAGTAAATGAGTATTTAGTGACTGCAATGGCCTTATCTTTTGGGTTTTCGCAATACCACAGGTGAGTTAATTTAGTAACAGCCGCATTCTTCAACAATCATCATGTTAAATGTTTGCACAACGAATTCCCCTTTGTAATAGTAAAAGAAACGCATTGGCCGCAGCTTGATTGGTATACAGCAAGTCGTGGTGTCATCAGTTGAGCTACCTTTCTTTTTCTCGTTCATGAAAGCCTTCAGTAAAGAATGAAGGACAAACCTGTTTGGTTGCCTGGGGTTGCATTTTCCCTTGCACTGGTAGGCATTGAAACGCTCAGGTATGATGTACTTGGAAGGCAGTCCAAGATCTGAAGAGTTTACCATCATATCCAATCTTTGGCAGGCTGTACCTTCATGTTCAGCGTTCTGTTGGAGACGTTTGCGTTTCATTTCCTGAGGTGAGGATCCTTCAGTCTGGACCGCTTCAATGTGTTCATGAGTAGCTATGTAAGATAAAGACTGATATATTATGTTTTGAAATTCTAATGGTTTGAGTCAGCCCCTAATGAGCTTCAACGATTAAGTTGTAATCTTTAAAATTTAACTTCTCTGCATAAGTAGAACCTTGCCGTAAGATACTCAGTGCAGGATTTAAAGTACGCTTTGTCTCTTCAAAGGTGCACCCGTTTATGACCTATGAAATAAACATTCCTCTCTTTCCGCCTCAGTTATTTTTTTCGCATTCCAGCCAAAACTTCAGGTTTAAATAAAATGAGCCATTAAGCTTACATTCTCCGTGAAAACTTGGTGATGAATTCTTTGAACGCTCTTCGTTCCCCTCTGGAGGTCTGCGGGAGATCTTGAGCTGGAAAAAGGAGGCGTTCTTTTGATCGCCAGGCATTAATTGGTCTTCATTAGCTGTGGAAGACAGAGTATTTCCTAAATAGTTCTCAATCGGAATTCCCATTCCAGCCTCCAAGTTAATCAGTATGAGGAGCTGGAAGAGCATATGATAAGGCGACATCTTCCTACTGTTCATGCTGGCAAGGAAAGAAAGTTTTAAAGAAGTCTGAGTTGATCCCCTGAAAAACCGGCTCTAAATAACAGTGTCGTGTAGAGGAAGCGGGTTTTAAAAAGGTCACGATAGTCGTATTCTAAACCAATGAAATCAACCATTTTAACCTTCAAGATCTGACAGCTACTCCCCCAAATAAGGCCTTCATCTCTTTGTTGGTTACGCCTGAGAGTTTAACGCTTCACCAAGGCGGAAATAGAGAGAATTTAAGTGCCTTTGACACGAATTTTTTTTGCGTATTTATCTATCTTATCATATGTACAAACCAATTCCTGTAGAACAAAACTTCCAGAAAAATTAAACATCGGGTTTTTTCGGGCCCCATAGTGCACTTATTTTGTCTTAAAAGTGTCTCGTAAGCCGTTTTGCGGGTGATGAATTAGAAAGCTGTGAAAACTTTCAGGCTCTCACATCTCTTGAAGTTTGGTATTATTCAGCGTTGAAATACTCTTGAAATAATGACCGATAGCGATGTATACCTACCTCAGTCAGCAAGTTCTACCGAGAGTCGTGATACATCGTACTCAAGTAGTAACGAAGAAATGGAAGTTGCCAGTATGGTCAGTCATACGGAGGAAAACCTTGTGCAACAAACGAAGATTTCCACGAAGACTGACAAAGAAATTTTCTCGCCTGCGGTGTTCAGTTCAAGAGTAAAACAAAAAAACTACCGTTACTCGCTCGCGCTTTCAGAACACGCATTTCTCAAACTTATTTATTATGCATGAGGCCATTAACCACTTGTGTGTCCCGTGTGAGTCACATATGCCCCTCGAACAGAAAGACACCTGTTTCGACATCTACGTGTGAAGATATTCAAACACGTGTGTTTTACTATCAATAAGTAAAGGAATGCAGCACTTAGACGAATGTTTATTCTCTTCCAGGATTACAGCACCTGGTGAACATCATAATCTTTGAACACACTCACCAGCTGGAGTAAGAGGAAATTTTTTCTCGCGCGCAGCTTGCAAATTCCGGAAAACATAAACAGCCCACTTTATCTTTGTACTGTCTAATTTTAGGCTACGAACGCTTCCTCTTGGGAAAATTTTGGCGGTGAAAACCCGCAGGACTTATTCATTTCATTTCTCAAAATTGCACTGAACTGAGGAGGTCAATGAAAAGTGCAACGACCACTTATCAAAAAACCGAAGTTGTAAAAACAACAAGATACTTCTCATCACGCTGACTAGCAAATATGTACACGTGTTGATGAAACTGAAGAAAGTCAAAACTAAATACATCCAGGTTTTTTTTTTTGCTTTTGGGTTTATTGTTGATAAATAAGACCCTTGTGAGGAGCCCCTCACTCGGAACAATAAGAACACTGAGCTTCGGCCTCGTGCTTTCATCAATTTCCTCTTCTTTAGGAACCTTGATGAAACACTCACCCTCGTTTATGAAATAGTATAAGGAACAGAACATATTCCTGTTTGGGACCAGGTTAGATTTATTGATCATGACTCTCACTGGTACAAACATAGTATTAAAGAAGCCACCCACATATAACTTTATCCTAATAACATCAGTGGAGATAGTGGAATCGAAATTCCTGGAGCATGCCTACTATCAAGAAACGTGACCGATCCTCACCGGGGGAAGTTTAGGAATTCCCAAACAGTTGAAACAGATCCTTTTCGATCTGCTCTTTTGAAAAAAAAAAAAATCAATTAACAACTGTTATCAAGTACTGACGTTATTTTTCTACGATGTTTTGGACAACTCACTGACTGAAAGCTGGTTTTATGTTTTGCGCCATTAAAGGCAAAGCATGTAAACTAGCGGTATTCCTTTTTTGTCGAATTTCTTCAGACCTGACGTGGATATTTACCACCGTTTTTATTTTAGAAAAACAAGATAAGAAAATTTTCGACCAGACAAGAGGAACAACCTCTGAGAAACCTTATATCTAAACTAAAGGTCACGGAATACAGTCAAGACACAAGTCTAGTCAGCGGCCGAAATTAAACACGGATCGAGTAGAGAACTATTTTTATCGACTAATTTTCCAATATAACCTAGCTGTGCAAGTGGCATATTTATTTTTAATTTTTTGTAGTATAAGAAATGTAGCTTTTCATCTGAATGAATAAAGACGAATATTATATTGTGTTATGATGGGTGAGACTGTTTTTTGGGGCTCCAATTTTCCTTTCCTTAATTGAAAGCCTGCTCCTGGGGTTACAACAATTTCAGCACGGAAGACACAAAAGAAATCAAAACGAAATACCGCCCTGGATGTTAAAACTTTGCGAGGGAAAGTTATCCTGTATCTCTGTTTTGATGATTCCTAGACCATGAACTACACAACCCCTGACGTTTAAGTTTGTAACTGCACTATTCTTTTACTTTCTTAGGACTGTATGCTGTCAGTGATAGTATGTATAATGGTGATAGTTTTGGCCAAAAGCGTCTGACCTTTTCAAAGATTTCGGTTGCGGCGCAGTACTACCGCTAGGAAATAAGTTTGAGGAAAGGGTTGACGACAGAATTTCTCTCATTCTTGTTTTCATCACATAATTTGTCAAATATATTCAAATTAGCAAAGAGTATCTGACGAAAAGTGTTCAAACGATAAGTTGTCAGTTTCATTTTCACTCGTAATGATTGAAGTGTGGACCCCTTGTATTCTGCAGCATACACCTTTATTGATATCTAACGGGCTATACCAGCAACTTGAACTACTGTTACATCTAGTTACAATCTCGGCTTTTATAGGTACGGTTGAGAATCTAGAACTTTCCGTAACATTACAAATAGAAAGGGAAATGTAACAGTGTGCGAAACACTTACGAAAAACCCCCCAAAAACGAGAATCGTAAAAATGGGCGAGACACCAATGTAATAAATCCATCTAATAATCCGAAAAAGGGAATCCTAAAGTGAGCGAGATTATGTAGCAATTTAATGAAAAAAGATGTTTAAGACACTTACGTAACAATCGAAGTAAGAAGAAACCTTAACATTGCGAGATAGCAACGGAACGATCCCAAGAAGTTGAATCCTAAAGGATGCAAGATGCTAACGAAACAAGGCAACGAAAATGTATCTTAAAAAAAAAAAAAAAAAAAAACATTTAATGAAAGGTTATTCGAAAAATACATAAGATACTAACATAACAATCCAACGACAGAGAATCCTAAAGTGCGCGAGATACTGACGCAACAATCCGATGAAAGAGAATCGTAAATGACGTAAGATGCTGACGCAACGATCCAATGGAAGCGAATTCTAAGAGTTTGCGAAATCCGATCGTAACTATCGTATGATATTGAATCCTAAAGATGCCCGAGATGCGACCGTATCAATCGAGATACTAGCGCACACACGAAAAAGAGCATACACTAAATTTAATAATAACAAGAGCTGAAGATGATCTCATAACTCGGACACTAATGAAAGATCCAATACTTTCTGACCATTCAGCAATCCATAGCAAGTTACGGTTACGTAAACCACTATTTGAA